CGTAAAAAAGGTTGGGGATCACTGCTATAGAGCACTGCACACCAGAACAACTAGACACAAGGACAGGTTTTTCCCCAATACCATCACTCTGCCAAACAAATAATTCCCTCAACACTGTCCAACTATTTACAAAGTCTGCACTACTATTACTATTAATCTTCTCATCCCTCCTTATCACCCATCCCCTCCCACTTGTGACTGTATGACTGTAACTTTGTCGCTTCTATCCTTACCATTTATATGGACTGTTTCCTAGAATGATTGATTGCTTATTGTACCCTGTGATTATTATTAAGTGTTGTAACTGATGATTCTTGACGAATGTCTCTTTTCTTTTATGTACACTGAGAGCATTTGCACCAAAGACAAATTCCTTGTGTGTCCAATCACACTTGGCCAATAAAGAATTCTATTCTATATTCTATTTTATTTCATTTCATTTCTATTCTATTTCTATTCTATTCATTTCTATTCTATTCTATTCTATTCTATTCTATTGTGCTGCCCATTGCCTGTCCACAGACCGGGCTTGGCTACCTCTGCCTTAATAAACCAGGCTTCCAATACCACAGCCTTCGTTAAGCAGAACGACCACTGAAATAAAGCTGCACTCTTCCGCTTCCTGACCCCCCTATTTGTACAGGGCTATTTTTGGAACTTCAGAACACCCCCTCCTCAGCCCCTACCTCTCACCCACCCCTGGAGAGCAAGGGATGCATCTTCGCACGTCCATTGAGGAAAAAGGAAAAAGGGGAAAAAACAGCCACAGGAAATGCTCACCCTTTCTCTGTGGCTGTTGGCGAAAATTTTTAATGCTTTGCAAACCGCCTTCCCAGCTGAATAAATGAAGGGGGTGAGTGGGTGGGAGGTTCTTTATTTTTTATTTATTTATGTTGCATAGTTCTGACCATCCAGCCCCTCAAAGGGTTGTTGTTTTTTAGCTTTGCAGCCACAGAACCTGACCCACGTCGCAGGAGGCCTATTTCACAAACTTAACATGAAGCATTAACCTGCCCTTTGCCGTACAGGTAGCCCTCTATGATCACAATTAAGCCCAACATTTATATTGCTAAACAAGGCGGTTGTTAAAAGTGAGTTTTGACCCATTTTGCAACTTTTTTTTGCCTTAGTTGTTCAAACGAATCACTGCAGTTGGGTCAATCGTGCCATTTTTAAGCGAAAGCTGTTAGTAAGACTACTACTGTGATGGCGAACCTACGGCACAGGTGAGAGCCATTTGTGCCAGCATGCGAGCCGCAGGCAAACTGACCTCACTGCGCACATGCGTGCCTCACAACTGGTTTGAGGCCTTTTTCGGCCTCCCAGAGGCTTGAAAAAAGCCTCTGCAGGCCGAATAATAGGCCTGTTTCATCACTTCCTGTAATACCGGAAGTGATGAAACGGGCCTATTATTCGGCCTGCAAAGCCTGCAGAGGGTTTTTTTTCAAGCCTCTGGGAGGCCGAAAAAGGCCTCAAACCAACCGGAAACCAGCTGTGAGGTGCAGTGCAGATAAGGGGGCGGCATGGGGGAAAATTTTCGCTTGCAAGCGCAGGTGGTGTGAGGGGGGGTCACATTACCTTCTGGATGCTGGCACACAAGCGCGCACATGCCAGCACACACACACACAATTTTTGCCACAGGAGCCCCAAAAGGTTAGCCACCACTGATCTACTAGTCCCCATTTCCCATTCAAGTACTAATCTGGTCTGGCCATGCTTGGCTTACTAGTTAAAGTGGTCCGGATGTCACATCCTTTTCTGAAGGCATGTAGTAGAAAACAAGTAGAGCTGGGGACAGAGTTAAATGTGTCATCAGCTTAGAGTCCTTGGGTTGCTACAAACAATCGCTTGAATTCTGTTGAGCCTTATCGGTGCCAATTTAGCCCTGTTGATCGACTAGACTCCTGTGTATACACTTGAATAAATCTGTATGTATTTCCATTTCTAACTTAACGTATGATCCTGATCCTTTTTGCCCGACAAGGCAGTTGCAATTTCCAAACATATCCTGCGTGTTGCAATCCTCTAACCTTTGCATTATTGAGGCTTGGATGGCGTTTGCGTTCCCTCTGTGTGACCTGCAGAAACCAGGTTCAAGTAGCCATTTCAACTAGAAATTCTGAGGGGGGGAAATAGGTAGATAGATAGATAGATAGATAGATAGATAGATAGATAGATAGATAGATAGATAGATAGATAGATGATAGATAGATAGATAGACAGACAAAGATACATCAATAGATATACAAATAGATAGATAGATAGATGCATAAATAGATACATGGATAGATTAGATAGAGAGATGATAGATAGAGAAATGATAGATATGTAGATAGATAGATAGATAGATAGATAGATAGATAATGATAGATAGATAGATTAGATAGATAGATAGATAGAAAGATAGATGATAGATAGATGATAGATAGATAGATAGATAGATAGATAGATTAGATAGATTAGATAGATAGATA